GCAACCGAGGGGAGTCTGGTAGGAACGGGCACATGGCGTAGATGCACAGGGTGAAGAAGAGCTGAAACGCGAGCGGGAAACGCCATGCGATATCGCGCGGTGCGAACGAGAAGCCAAGAGTAAGCCAATTCGAGATGCTGAAGCCGGTGATGCAGTTCGCTGTTGACGAATTAGCTAAGATGTCACACTGTATGTTACGAATGCCGTACCCATCTGGATGATAACGAGCTTTCCTCGACTATTCATCTTACTGGTCTCAGCCTGCCAAACTCCAGCTGTTGCTGTGTTCATGCCAGTACCAAGCCCCGCCACAATGCGCCCAACCATCATGCTTGCTACAGTCCAACTACATGTCTGGATGATTGCGCCGATGCCGATGATCGTCGAACCGAGGAGAATCTGCCTTGGGCGTCCGAGAATGTCGCCAGTCCATATGGTACTCATCGCTCCGATGAAGCAGCCGATGTTGTAGATGGATGTCATCACACCTTGCATGTTGGCAGATGGGTAGCCAAAGGTGTGGAGGAAGTTCTCTGAGATGATGACATTGCCGAAGACACCTTGATCGTAACCGTAGAAGCTAATGAGTGTCAGACAACCGCGTTGCAAGATGTCATGATCGTAGCTTACACGAGTACCGTACTGGCAGCGATGGAAATCCATACTGTCAGCCGCTCACCAGAGCCTCCAAGATATTTGCGTGCCATGGTCGCGTACTCCCTGTCCAGCTAGCGATGTCACGAAGTATGTGATCGTGGATGCAGAGTAAGAGATGTCGTGGAAGAAGGAAGTCCGTCAAATCAAGAGATGTCAATAGCCGGTCCAATGCACTGGGCCTGTACCAAACTTTGTCATCTGCAACGGGGTCGCAGCGACGATCAACTCTTTATACCGGGCATGAGCCCTGGCTCGGGATCTTCTCCGCTTATCATTATCCTCGTCATGCGAAGCTTGTCAAGCCTCACAAGCCTCTGGTCGTCTCCAGATCCACTGAACTTCCCCAGACTCTGATTACATACCCGATACCACATAGGCCGAGGGCCCACTCGGTCCACACTGGAGCTCTGTTACTGGTGATAGCGGCGTTTTAGCCGAGCGAGGAGGCAATGAGTGATCAAAGCGCAAGGGTAGACAGGCGAATGCAGCGATGTTGAGGTTGCGCGTATTGGAACGATGCATCGCGGAATACTAATTCAGGGAAGGCGGAAAGATGCGTCGGCTGATGAACACGGAAGGTGAAGCGAGCGCGGGGTAGCGAGGAAGGTGTGCCGAGTGTGGGGAAAATCGATGCTGAAGTCCAACGCCACAACACGAAAAACCTTAACATTCTTGTACGAGCCTCTGAAACAAAGCTGGCGATACAGCCGGTATATCATGCCCAAGCTCTTCCCGGGCATTCAACCACGCGAGTGCCGAATGAGGGAGGTAGCCTCGGGAACTCCCCGCAGTACTCCTCTCCTCCAATCTATCCAACGGAAGAAATAGACTAAACTTGAGGTCGCGCATCATAGTCCCCTGATCTGCGCATCATATCCAAACATGTCGAGCGCAAGGTCTTCCACTTCGAGGAGTACTTCCGGCATACGAAAGGTATGCGCACGAACTCATTCCTTCCACCGGTAAAAGGTCGCTCGCGGCTTCTTCGTGTTGATGATGAACTCAAAATGCGGAAGTATAAAGAGACGGGGTATTCGTATGGACGGATAGGAAGCACATCGACCAGGAAATACGCACCATGATCTTGACCAACTCTGTTCTTCTGACCCTCGCTGGAGCGACCCATGTCGCGTCGCAGTCGTTTCAACTGACGCCTGTTATGGGTTGGAACTCCTACAACCAGATGTCATGTAGCCCAAACACCCAAAAGATCACCACCACCATTAACTCGCTTGCGAGTCGCGGTTTCGTCGATGCTGGCTACAAGTTCTTCCAGATCGATTGCGGATGGGCTTCAAGAGATGGACAGCGAAACGCTACTAGCGGCGCACTGAAGGTGGACCTAAAAGCATTTCCAGGTGGCCTAAAACCTTTGAGCGACCTAGCAAGGTCAAAGGGCATGAAATGGACAATGTACTCGGATGCCGGTGTGAGAATGTGCGACCCAGAGGCGCCGAGCCCTGTCTTGGGCTCATTAGGTCATGAAGCTGCCGACGCGGATTTCTTCAAGACGCTGAACACCGAATACGTCAAGTGTATGTCCGAAGAAATGTGGTCGCGCACTGTGATCACCAAGCTGACAGCCTTCCAGATGACAATTGCTATGCCGACGGCCCTGCAGCTAGCCAGAATGCTCCCAAGAACGCCAGAACCGATTTTGTCACCCGATTCGGTGTTATGTGGAAGGAACTGCAACGAGTTGGTATCCCGGGAATGTTAATCTGCCAATGGGGTGTTCCTTTCACGACCTCTACTGGTCTCCAGGGACCCGCTCAATGGACGAAGCCCATCTCGACATCCTTCCGACTATCGGACGATATTACATCAGGTTGGGCGTCCATGTTCCGCATCTACAACCAAGCTGTGCACATCGCCAAGTCCGGTCTGGTCACTCCAGGACACATCGCCGATGCTGATCTGCTCATGGTCGGCAACTCTGGTATGACATTCGACGAGCAAGCTACGCACTTCGCCGCGTGGGCTATGCTGAAGTCGGCGCTCATGGTCTCAACCGACGTAGCAGCTCTGTCGAACGAACTCGTCGCTGTTCTGCAAAACAAAGACCTGATTGCGATCAACCAGGACTCCGCTGTCAAGCCGGTCACTCTCCGTCAGCGTTGGAGCGGGGACCGCGACCTTTGGGCTGGTGACCTCGCCAATGGAGACATGGCCGTCTTGGTCGTAGACCTCAGCAACACTGCGCGTACGCTGAGCCTGCAGCTCTCCGAACTCGACATCGCATCGGCATCGATCAAAGATCTCTGGACGGGTAAGACTGTTAGCGAAGCTTCCCTCTCCAAGCAAGTCAAAGCGCACGGATCTCTCGCCATCCGCCTGTCCAACATCCGCCGCTCGACAGCAGCCAAACCCACATACAAGTATGTCTCCGCATCAACCGGCTCCCTTTCCTCGGGCGCATCCACCCAGTCCTGCTCCGGCTGCACCTCTTCAAACAAAGTCGGCAACCTGGGCGGTTCGTCGAACGGTCGCGTAACCCTCTCCAACATCCGCACCTCTAAAGCGACACAAACAGTGTACTTTGACTACATCAACGGCCAGGTCGACTACATGGGCGGCAGCAACGAGCGCGTCGCATCGATCAGCGTGAACGGGGGTGCAGCAAAGACCGTCAGCTTTCCTCTGAGCGGGTACAACTGGGACAAAGACGTATACAAGAACTATGGCGTCGAGCTGTCGGGCTTCAGCACCACAGGTACCAACACCATCACCGTCTCTGGTGTTGGAAGTGCGTACGCGCCGGATGTTGACAGGATTGGTGTGATCGCCTAGTGCGCGGCCGGCCTCAATTCGGCGCAACACTGTCTTTCCAGCCACGCTTGATTAGCCGGCTCAGCCACCTTTCTAGCGGTCTGGACATCTCTTTTGCGACGTACTACGGATGTTTATGAAGCACAATGAATGAACAACAATATATTTTCGGTCCGACGCCAAACCTCCGGCTGGGTATCATGTAAATACGCAACACAATCTGCTCTTCTGTCAGCCCTCTGTCAGCCAAGTCCAGCGCATCATCGCGATAAATTTCTCCGTGTCGCTACCTCGTGCGCTAATGGATGGTTGTTTGAGTTGTTGCATGTGCCAAATCTTACGATGATTGATGCGATCTCTGCGTATTCGGTGGTTCTCGCATCTAGGCTTACCTCGTAAAAGGATTGACCGCGTTTCCAACGCAGCGCAGCATAGCACAATGCATCTGACGTATGCGCATCTCTTAGCAATACAGCGCATGAGCAAATATTAAATATCTCGGCCCTACAATACGCAGGTACAATGATGAATACATAAAGATCTTCATATCCTCCGTGTCCTGCTCCACCACTCCAGCTCCACAGCTACACATCACCACTCCAAACCTCATTCTCCAAACACCCAAGAATACCCCAAGATGCAGCTCCAGTACCTCCTCCCCGCGGCGTTCCTCGCCGCCTCAACCATGGCCGCAAAATTCAACGGCTTCTCCAACATCGCCTGCCAACAATACGACGGCACCTACATCCCCCTGACAGCAACCCAACTGCAAGACATCGTCGTCAAGAACTGGGCGACTACACAAGAAATCCCCGAAGCATCGCGCTCCTTCACTGCGCCTGATGACAGGAAGCTGTGCCCTTCCAATTCGGATGATACGTACAAATGGGTGAGTACTATGATCATATGGCTTGGCTTGGTGAAATGGTTGTTGACTAGTCTTGTTTTCGCGGTGTAGGTCTCGATCCCGCAGTGGGGGCAGGGAAGCAAGTGGCCCGCTGGTAATGGTGGTGCGCTGGCGGTGGTTTACTACAAGGAGACTGATACGTATAATGTGTGCCGTTATCTTGCGGCTGCTCAAGCGGATGGGTATAAGGGTGCTTGCAAGTAGGTGGATAATGTACATTACTTGTGTGATGGGCGCAAAAATGGACAACTCCTAGAGCGGTGCATCGTGTATATACATACGTATATTGACTGTATTTGTCGTAACGATCAATGGTTCATCATGTTCGTATCACGCGATACGGCAGTCAACGGCGTTGAATTCTCGCCAGCATCGATTGACTCAGCTTGGTATCACATTGCTTCGTTGAGCTTTCACTATATGTCTATTGCGTTAGATCTATGAGGTATCATGCATGACCAAGCGGTACGTCAAGCTCGAAACACTGTGGAGCTATTTGTAATTTGCATTGATGAAATACTACTACACATGATAACTACCGATAGTCTAGGAAACGCACCTTGATTACTTGTAAAGCATACATTCGTGGTACAATTGGAAAGGAAAGCAGCGGTGGCATCTGGTATGAATAGTGCCATTTTCACGATAGAGCAAAGTGTCGAAGCTCTTACAGCTTATACATCTCCTTGAACGCTGCTACGCCTCCTGGCGGTCGTGACACGAATCCGCTGAAGATTTCGGCGTCCCACTCGTCGAGGAATTGCTGTGGTGTCCAGTGCTTCCGGGCTTCTATCATGCTCTTAGCATCCCAAGGGGCACCAGCGTCTCCAACGAAGTGGATGGAGCCAGAACCTTCGGTGATCTGTCGAACTATCGCGTAGAACGAGTCCGGTAGGTGGCATGGCATTTGGAATCTATTTTCCAGTGCCGCTTTGCTCAAAGATACGCCCCAATACAGTGGATCGTACAGCTCAGTGAGCTGAACATCTTCGTGTCTTTGCATATAGTCAGACTTGAGCATGGCCTCCTGAAGGCTAGCTGCATGCTTGAACGACTCCCATGCGGCAAGGCTTTCGTCCTGATGGCCTTCGATATAGATGCTGAGAGCCTGGGGGCGCGGGATGCTATCAAAGATCGGAAGGACCTCGTCCAAGAAGTCTGCAAACGGGCGTATCATTTCTAGCTTCATTATTAGACCTTCATTCACGATCTTGGAATGAGGCAGACGTAGCCAGAATGGATGGGTAAGGTTTGTCCAACACCCCACGTGCAAGTCGATCCGGAGGTTTTTATTCTCGCAGAGGTAAGGCTCAAGGGATCTTGCGTGTGACTCGGGGTAAGCTACGGCCAGTTTGTTTTCTCGGATGATGAGAGGAAGTCGTAGGCACATTCGTGTACTATGTGGCAACCTCTTGAGAAAATCGACCGCAACAGCCGTGGCTGAGAAGTACCAAGCTAAAGGTACTACAGGCTCAGTCCAATGCACCCTACTGTCAGCATCTGGGGAGACGGGGTCGGCCAAAAAGGATTCCAGAGCAAGATCAGTCTCGGTTGGTATCAGCGCCAGGTCCGGCTTCCACGCGAGAAGGGCGTTCTGGCATCCAGGCACAAACGGAGGCATCATGCCGCGACGGCTGAGCGGGCTCACCATGGACTCGGCTATCAAGTCATCAAATCTGGGATGCGAGGATGCGAGCTCTAACGTGTAATGCAAGGCGTCGCAGAAGGTTGCTGACGTTTGCCACCGCCATTGATAGTCGAATGAGTGGACTCCAGTGCCCTTGTATAGCTCGTCTCCTGACTTTATGGCATTGTATGCTTTTCGATAGCAGCGGGCAATACCGGGAAAACGGGTGGCCACCTGATCAACCATTTCCGGGGTGACGCATCCGCCCTCGGCCACGAAATGCAGCATGTGCATTTTCGTGCGCCTCGCGCATTGTACTAGTCGCTCGAACCGTCCGGCCTTGGAATCGAGGTCGTTTACGTTGGTGCCGTCCTGTGCGGAACGCGCGGGGAAGAAGGTTACGGTATTAGCTCGCAATGCAGCGTCCTGTATCTCCTCAGCTGCCTGCTTGCAGCTGCGTGTCAGCGCACTCAAGTCCTGGTGGATAGTCTGATTCGCGTACCGCAGCTTGCCAGAAGGGTAACTGTAAAATACGCCTTCGCTGTGGTGCGCGTAAGCCTCGTAGATGTCGTCGCGCAACTCGCGAGGTAAACGGAAGAAGGGGGATTGCTGTTGATCGGATCTGGCATGCGACGAGGGCGTAGCCGTGCTTGAACACGACGGAGTATTACTCATCGTAAAGTAGGAGAGTGGAGGAGCTTGCTAAGTGACGTTTTGCAAGACGGGTATCCGATTAGAGGAAGCTCGATGTGGAGGGGCAGATGGGGAGTCTTAAATTCTTCGCTCACCACCATCTGCAGCCCGGTAGGCTAGGCGCCAGCATGCCAAGAGCGGCACGTGCACCACTGAACCATGGTTCCCGATGCCGCCAAAGGCACCCCGCGTCGCCGCTTCACCATCCTCTCCCCCATCCTCTCCCCCATCCTCTCCCCCATCCGCCCACCCTCTCCACACCACGACAGCAACAGCAACAGCAGACTTTGCGACTTCAAATTCGATTCAATCTTGAACAACACCCAACTCGATTGCGCGCAACTATCTACAGCGATACATACAATTCACACGTGTGGTCGCCTCCCAATTGGCTCTGCCTACCAGCCCAGACATGGCGCGTCGGAGGTCGCGCGTCGCGCGCCGCCGCCTCACCACACCTGAGCCCCAGACAGGTTCGTAGCCCTCGCCACGTACAGGCTGAGAGTCTCGAGGACCGCCGCACCACTGCCTTCGCATCGCTGCGACTGCAGGGGGGCCACCGCTTTTGGCTGCAAGTGATAGCCCGACCATCACGTGTCCGAGTAAGCCTTGGCTTCAGTGTTTCTCAACCATGGGAATTCAAAAAAATCTCAACTCAACAACCAAAGTACACCATCGTGGTCATGTGCTGCTCCTGGGAGCTGTTAGCGCCGCGCTTGCAGTCGATCGCGATCAAGAAGAAACTTACTGATGCCTGGAAGGGATGGGATTATAAAATCTTCGCACTTGTGCTGCCCAAGCCATCAGTCCCCAGTCGACGCGAGCAACGACACTCGAACTCACCGTCGATCGTTCTTCACCCATCTGCACAACTCCAAGATGGCGATCCAAACCCAATCGGATACGCTCGCGTATGTATCGCCACGGGCACCCGGCGCCAACGAATACGAACGCTGCAAATACTATTAGCAATATACGCCGTGCTGAGGTAAACAGATTTGTAAAGAGAAGAGAGGCTGAGCTATACATGAAGACGAGATAAGGAGGAATGGTTTGACAAGACGGTGGTTGACAAGACGGTGGTTGACAAGACGGTGGTTGACAAGACGGTGGTTGACAAGACGGTGGTTGACAAGACGGCGGCTGACAAGACGGCGGCTGACAAGACGGCGGCTGACAAGACGGTGGCCAGCAAGATCGAAAGCAGGACGAAGGACAGGACCAAGGTTGGAAAACATCAAGATCGAGAGGAGATGTTTCGACATACATTCATCGACGCCAACCCCCCCGAGGGGGAGTATCCCGACCATGCCCTCAGGTACAGGTACGCCATCAGCCACACGCGTACTACGGAGCTTCAAGCAATCACTGAAGCAAATTAGCGTTACCGATCCAAAGTCAACTCGTCACGATACACATACCCTGTTGCGAGGTCATAGCCGAGTCCATCTCCACCAATGTCTCCGCTGACTCTATGCTGCAGCTCTTCGCACGCGGAGAGCTTGCAGCTCTAAAACGACTCTACGCAAGAGTCCTTGCCGACAACACCACATCTGCTGAAGATGAAATCATCAAGACGCTCACACACGGAGGTCAAAGGAGGGTGCAGGGACAAGCAAGACGCATCTTGGTTCCTAAGAAGTGAAGTTAGCATCCTGAAGCGTCTCTTCGTCTGAGAATAACTTACCGGTTTGAAGCGGGCAAGGGGGATGGGCAGATTAAGCACTGTTCGTCATTAGTCGAAGACTCGGGACCAGGGAAAGATGCCAGGTACTCACGACTAGTAATCAATGAGCCCACGGGCATGCCCTAACGTCTTCCGCAGCGTGACATCGGGCTAGAAGTAAAAGAGTTACATTGATACGATAAGCTGAGCAAGAAAGATACTAGGCATACATCTAACGACATCTATACGAAACAACGGTCACTATCATGGCGCCTCATCAATTGCCAACCTTCGTTTCCGCCCGAAACCTCTCCAAAGAAAACCTCCTCCCATCGAAAGCTCACCATCCATCGCAACGCCTAGTATCCGTGTTTCCGCATCCACTCGAGCTGATCCAACTCCAAGTGCTTGACCCCCCATTTTGCAGTCAGACCGACGAGCTTTGGATCCGTAAGCAGTTGCTTCTTGCTAAGGCAGCCTGTCTCTTTAAATAGAAGATCGGGCTTTCTCGGCTTGCATTGGAATAACACATGCTCAACGTCCTCATCGAGCTTGCTCGGCTTGCACAATTGACAATATGCGTAGTGATTGTCCTGGCCAGTCGTTAGTCAATCCACTCGCCAAGTGATATAGCTGGAATGCAAACTTACTCCGAATAGCTTACGCTTCAGCCATGCCCTCAGACCAATGGCCTCAGACCTCAACTGCAGCAAGACCGCGCTCTCCTCCTTCGACAAGTCCTTGTAACGTGCCAGGTTATGTGGACCCCATCCCGACTCCTCATGCAGCACAGCAGGCCACCTGTCCATGTCTTCGATATTGGCTCTGTGCTCCTCCTGATCCTTGGCGAGCACGTCGCGCATGTAGCTCTGCGCATCCTGATTGGCAACCTTGTTGATAGCCCGCCTGATCGCATCCGGCTTCCTGTTGCCGACCCCATCTGGCCCCAAAGCCCTTGTCCGCAGCTCCTGGGCTTGCTTGTCGAGCTCGTCGGCTGGATTCTTCTTGATCGGCATCGTGCCCGGCTCCATCTTCTCTATTGCCGTTCTCGCTTCCCGGATGGTTTCCCAGACTTCCGAGTCGAAGAGTCTTGCACGCGTCGAGATCGCGAGACGGCGCATGTACGCATGAAGGCTCTCGATGTTGACTTCGTTCTGGACGACAGTGGTGCGAGTGCCGATGAAGGCGCCGGACATGGAGCGGAGAAAACGGTTCTGGAGTGGCTCGATTCGTTTCAATAAGGTCGGCGATGGCGCGTAGAAACCGGTAGCGGTAGAGGTGTTGACCACGTACCATGCAGCAGCCGCGTAGGTGAACGTGGCGCGAATGCTGGTAATGTACATGTTTCGAAGGGCGTGCAGACCAGGGCCCCATGTCGGGCCAGCAAGCTGAGCAAATCGACCGCGCATGGTGGCGGCCTTGGAGCGCATCGTGTTGACATGGTCTTCCCACTTCAGATTCTTAGCGATGGTGACGCCCACGATGGTCATGGGGACGTTGTAGCCTTTGTCCTTGCGCTTGTCGTCCTCGTTGACAGTAAGTCCGTCGATTTTGGGTATGGTATTGGGTGGGGGATGGGCCTGCGGGCATTGTGTAAGGTGCAGCACTTGGTACTTCGGAGGCGAGAAGACAGCCTTGTGAGCGTTCGCCCATTGCAATGGATGGCCATGTGCGTGCTCGAGAAGGTCGTTGTTTCGCGTCCATGAGTCGGAAACAGCAACCATGTACGTGTCGTCAACGTAGCTGAACATGAAGATGTCTTCGCCGGGGTTGGGCTTGCCATACTTGGTCTTGTCGATGTCGAGGAGTCCGGAAGAGAAGAGCGCGAAGAGGATGGGCGAGAGTGGACTACCCTGAGGGATACCGCAGTGTAGTGGCAACAGCTCAGACTTGTGACCGGGAAGGCAGAGCTGCGCTTGCCGGTTGGTGAAGAACGATCCAAGTATGTTGACCATCCAGGCTGGAACGCCCTTGGTGTGTAGAGTCTCAAGAAGTGAAGGGCGGTCGGTGTTTGGAAACGCCCCAGAAAGGTCGAGGCTGAGAATTGTCACGGCCTTGCCTCGTCCCCACGCAGCGCGGATGATCTCCATGAGGTAGATGAGAGCGCTAACAGTGGACCTGCGCGCACTCCCGAATTGAGTCTTCGGTACGAGCTTGTGCTCAAAGGCGAAGTCGGTCAGCAGCATCGCAAGAAAAGCTTCGAAAAGCTTCCCCAAACACGAGAGAAGCGAGATCGGTCTCCAGTCTCCAGGGTTCCCGTAACTCAAGCTTTCCGGCGTCTTCTTGTGGAGAGCGATGATCTTCTCGATCCTCCAGGCGGTGGGAAAGTACTCCAGTTGGATACAGGCACGGAATAAAACGATGAGGTAGGGTACGAGTACATCCTCACACAGCTTCAAGATCTCGTTCGAAATGCCATCAAGCCCAGTGGCTTTGCGAGACTTCAAAAGGCGAAGAAGCCGCCGGATTTGCTGCTCGTCGACCTTCTTGCTGATAAGAGATTCGTCCTCCTTAGTCGAAGCAATGGGTTGGTGCTCGAAAGTTTCTTCCGATCTTGGAAACCACTTCTTCATCACGACACGGTTGATGTCCTTGGGATCCGCACTCCTGCTGCCATTGTCGTCGATTTCGACTTGCTGAAAGACTGCTGGTGTTCGCGCGTTCCCGGCGGTCTTGGTCGCTTTCCACTTCTGCAAGAGACTGATGCCCTCGGTCTTGGCGAGCTTCCTCCGCTTCGACAACAGACCATCCGAATACTTCAGAAAGCTGTAGTCCTTGCGGTGATCTTTCCAAGTCTTATGCAGATCACTCATCTTCTCTTGGGCTTTGCGGGCTTCCAGAATGTTACCAAGCTTGTCTCGCATGCCCTCGGTCCATAACCTCATGTCGGGCCGGAATCTTCCGTAGTCATCGAAGGGCCTGTTGTCCCAGGCCTTGTTTGAGTCGTAATCAGCATCGCTATGCTCATCGTCGCATTCGTTGTCTTTGTTGTCTTCGTTGTCTTCGTTGCCGCAGTCGTTATCGGCGTCGTAGGTATCGTTGTCGTCGTCGTTGGTATTGTTGTTGTCGTCGTAGGTATCGTTGGCGTCGTAGTAGGTATCGTTGTCGTCGTCGTAGGTATCGTTGGCGTCGTAGTAGGTATCGTTGTCGTCGTCGTAGGTATCGTTGTCGTCGTCGTAGGTATCGTTCCAGAACCAGTCGTCATCGCCGTCATCTTCCAACTCTTCCCAATGGTTGAAATCATCAAGATCCGAATCAAGTGTAGGATCGCCGATTTTGTCTAGATCATTGTCTGACTTCGTGTTCAGGTCAGAGT